ACCACTACCACTACCACTACTACTCCAAACAAGACCATTCAAGTCTGATACTTCAAAGTGGAGTGGTGGTGATCGAACGACGGTGTTGATTACGACTCACGATGACGACTTCAATGATGATGGTGCTGTGATGCGGCTTGCGACGCTCATGGCACTGTGGCGGTTGCTGCTGGTGTCGTTCCGAAGCTGCAAGAGGACGAGGGCCCCTCCTGCGCTGCCCCGCGCGAGCGGGTTGCTGCGCTTGGGACCGGCCTGGAAGGCTCGCAGCGCGGTAAGCTCCCGCACTCCATGCTCCCATGCTTTCGGCGTTGCCGATGCTGTCACAATGCTGTCGGCAACGACTGATATTTTGTCGCTGTTGTCGCGGACAGCCCTTGGCCTTGGAAAAAGCAGGCGACGCCACCGAAGCCGGGGTGGAGGGTGCCGGGGAGGTCGATGGCGGCTGTGCTGCCTGCATGGCTTCATGGTTAATGCTTAAGTGCTTTTATGAATTGAGCCGTCTTCGAATCCGAAGGGTTTGCCATCCAATCAGAAAATCAACTGGAAAGCTCACGCTGTGCCTCCTTGGTGTCGGTCTTTGGCGTATCATCGGAGGACTCATCAAGGCCTTGTCGAGCCCCTCTTGATCGACAGGATAAACACGAGACAGCTGCACTCCACGGACTTAAGACCGTGTACTTGCAATACTCTGAACTCTGAAGTCCACCGCAGCGCCTAAGTCGCGCAGGATTCCCGGGGTCTTTCTGGCGGCTGGCACACCTCCTCCTGCAGCAGCAAAGCACAGAAACAGCAAGAAGCAACTTGAGCTTGAAGGCGAGCAGCATCTTCGATCACAGCAGTAGCTGGAGCCCTGTGGCAAAGGTTCTGTCTTGTGTCGCCTTGTCGGTCGGATGTAGCAGCCGGCGCCACCTGAGCCTAAGCGAACTTTCAAAACAGCTCGTCAGCTGTGAGAGAACCGTTCCGTCGATGCTTTGCCGAGTTCTGGACAGGCAACTTGCTCGTAGAAGAGGCGCTAGTGCTAAAATCGCCTGCATGAGAGTTGCCGTTGTGAGTTGTGTGCCGTAATCAGACCCACTTTGAAACACGCGAAGGTTTTCAAGGCAAAAGAGTTCATGCGACCTGCCCCCTTTGTTTCCAGAAGGCGCCTCTGGCTGGCCTTTCCTCCAGGGGGCTGGCCTGAGACATAGGAAACAAAGCGCATCATGGCTCGGGGCTCGGATGGAGCTGGTGGTTTGTGGAGGTTCTGGGGCTCAAAAATTCTGAGGCTAACATGATGATACTCATCCCTCACGTCCCAGCCTCGCCGAGGACACCAAGACCGTTTTGACCTGCACCAAGTCTGGAGAGAGGGGCCGTTGCAGCATTTAAAGACGTCCGCGGAGCTTCCATGGTTGTGCATGCAAGATTGGCTCCTCGGGCCTACGGACAGCAGACTCTGCCCTTAACTTGCTGCGGGCTTGCCAGAACGTGGATGCCTTGATCACCGAAGCTGAAGCTCCCAGCCTCAGAACCGCGAGGTTTCGGCTTTAGGCGGCCCTGTTCCCTCAAGAGGAGTCTCCTTCGGAACTCCTTGGCATCTGCGTGGCAGCTGAGAGCAGGGCGCTGGCCTCCTGTGGTACTTCTGGCGAGGCGAAGCCCAGCGAACTGTTCGAGCCCTGATCCGGGCTCACAGATCTCGTGTCGATATTGCGCCGGACGGCGTCTTCGCATGATCCTTAAAGAGATATGGATTGTAAGATCTTACACGACACGAGCTCGGACTGCGTTCGAATTCTGAATTTGCCGGTGCTGTAGATTGTAGCAGTCGTAGCATTGTGTCTCCAGAACTTTGCTCAAGAGGCACCATCCCGGCTCGACTGCTATGCTGTGTTACACCACTTGTTCATCTAGCTTAGCCTGGCTTGCCTTCTCTTGCCGTATCTTGTCTACGATACCGGACAGCCTATGCCCCTCCGTCCTCTGCATCTAGGATGCGCTATGGTACTGCACTGCATTGCTTTTACTCCCTTGTGCCACAATATGCTGTGTCAGACAGCATCTTGCTATGTTGCACCAAACGGTCCAAAAAGTACGATATTGCATTCTCCTCACCTCTATTCTACCTTCATTTGGTTCTATCATGTCTCAACTCAAAACGTCTTCCTGAGGCTTGCCCGTCTTTCGTCGTTCATGCACACTCTTCGCGTCGGCTCATATCGTACGTCTTCGACTTTATCATTGTGTCGCGAATGGGGTTTTCTGGGCTCGCGGAACCTCAAGACCGCATGACTTGCCGCGCGAGGTCCGCGCGCAGGACTCGATACTGGAGAGAGGGGGGGGGGTGGGGAAATTGCGCAACAAACGCCCGAAGGTAGAAGCTCAAGTCAAATTCTGAGGTTCAGTATGCACTCGGCACTCTCCTCAAACCTCACGCCCTGCAGGGTGGAAACAAACAAAACGCCACTCCCTCCAACAAACCTGAAAATGCACGGCCTCGGGCGATCTGGCAGCCTGCCAAGGGCTCATGCAGTTCAAGCACCAAAGCGCGAGAGGAGCATGATGGAGGAATAATGAGGACGTAGAATGCTGCAAGTTCAGTCTGAGTCTAGCGTGATATGCACCAGATGGCGGGTCCTCACATGTGTCCTCCTGCAACTGCCCAAACCGGGGCAGTGGGGGTTAGTGCAAAACCTACATGAAAATGGCTCCCTTGGATTCTCAAACGTGTCAACCACTCAGAGCTCGCCCTCTGTGGCTTTCTCTGTCGCATCCGGCGGCCTGGTTGCCCTTGCCATGAGCAATTGGCACCTGCCCGATGCCAAGAGGCAAGTGTAGACACTTTTGCGACAAGAACCAACACTGAATCTGAATATGTGTATACACATACATACGTACATACATATACTAATCGTACTCGTATGCTGACGAATATTTTCTTACTATGAGTATTGGGCTTATACCAGCAGTAGGAGCAGCAGCAGGAGCAGGAGCAGCAGTAGCAGTAGTGGTAGTAGTCGTCGTCGTGATCGTAGGAGGAGTAAGCATTAGTATACGTACTGGTATTGGTATTCGTATACTATGTACTACTACTATCGGTAGTATTAGTGTTATTAGTATTGCTGTGGCTATGATGATGATGATGATGAATATTGC